GATCCTGCCCAGCCTGCCATGCCCGATCCTGCGGAGCCTGCGGCCGACACTGACTCCAAAACCGGACCCGTGGAGGCTGGTCGCATGTAGGGACCGCGCCTGGATACATGCGTGTGCAGCTGAGGTTCCAGGGAATGGGATGGGTTCGTGGCTGGAAAAAATCCGGAAGACAAGACCTAGTGGCACCACCCCACCCTGCCTTTGTCAAGCGAGACTCAGGCAAAGGCAACCATGCCAAGCGATTCTGTCGAGCTGTCCACGCTGGTGTTCACAAGCCCAAGGTTGTCAGCGGCACACACGGCCAGGATGACAACAGGGCAAGCAAAGCGTCAGCAGGCAAGAATGCTAACCCCGGAAAGCCCAAACGGATCCTCGAGCCCTGTGTTGAATCCACAAATTACCGGCAAGCCTTACTTACACCTTGGGAAGGATTGGGCTGTGCTGAAACATGAAGGTTTGTTGAGACTCGACAAAGACAGCCAAATCCAATGCGCAACAACCTGAGTTCCCGACCTTGGAATAAGTCAGGACCAAGATCTTAACCCATCTGAGCTTCTTAGCCCTGGACAAGCAGCCGAGGCAAGTCATGTCGATATGGGCTCCGGTGGTCAAGTGTAGTTAGTATCCATTCTAAGCTTGTCCCAACGTCTGCCGTCCTTCCTGATTCCTGTCTTGCAAGTTGGAGGTGGCGGGAGGCGAGGAGGCGGCTTACAATCAGCAGTTGGAGGAGGGAGCGAAGCGCATGTCTGCGATCGATGGCATGGACGACTTGCTGGCCGAGCTCTTGCAGCAAGAGGAAGAGCCTGAGGAGGCAGAGGCAGAGGGGGCAGAAGAGGCAGAGGGGGCAGAGGGGGCGGAGGAGGCAGGGGAGGAGGAGGAGGAGGAAGTTCCAGCTCCATCCAAGGAAGCCCCGCCAACCACACCTCCAGAAAAGGCAGAGGCGGAGGCAGAGAAACCCGACGATGGCAAGGCAGCAGATGGAGGAGCAGAGCCGGCTGTGGAAGCTCCAGCCCCCCCAATTGCAGAGCCAGTCGCTGCAGAGCCCGCCACTGAGGAGCCGGCGGCCACAGAGCCAGAACCAAAGCAGGAAGCTGAAGAGGCAGTGGCAGACGAAGCCGCCGCAGAGGGAGAAACAAAGAAGCGTCGCAGACGGAAGAAGCCCAAGGGAGATCAGGTCGATGCGGCAGAGGCAGCAGCAGTCGCAGCCGCTGACCCGAGCGAAGCTGCAGGAGGCCAGCCTACTGCGGCAAGCAAGGACCACGAGGTGGAGCCAGTCGCAGAGGCAACAGCAGCAGCGTCAGCCACACTAGCATCAGCGTCTGAGCCTAAGGTAGATGCGGCTTCAACCGCGGCAGCTGATGCACGGGAGGCTGGCAAACGGGACGAGAGTTCAAGCGCAGATGGGCATGCTGTCGGTGCGACAGCATCTCGGAAAAGTGCAGTCGGAAAGGTTCCAGCAGAAGTTGACTCTGGAGATGGGGCTGCAAGCCAGAAAGCCGCAGAAGCTGGCGAGGCCGCTCCCTCGACAGAAAAGCCCGCCGAGCCTTCAGAAGAAGCAGGTCACGCAGATGCAGAGGCCGCAGCTGCGAAGCCGGCAGATCCTGCCCAGCCTGTCATGCCCGAGCCTGCGGAGCCTGCGGAGCCTGCGGACCTGAAGAGCCAGCGAAAGAGCGCCTTCAAGGCCGCGGAAGCGGTGAAGAGCGAGAGCGACTCCAGGGAAGCGGAGGAGCAGGGCCCGGGCCCCGAGGAGCAGATTTGGGAGTGCGAAGCAGGCGAGGAGGTGGGTGAGTTGGGGATTTTCCCTGCGGCCTTTCCGCCTGACCCGGTGGAAATCTACTCGGTGACCGAGGGCTCTTGGGCGGCAGGGGAGGGTGTCGTGGCGGGCGATGTTCTGGTGGCCATCAACGGAAAGCCCGTTCCCGAGAAGAAGGACATGAAGCGCCTGATGAGGGAGCGGCCTCTTCGCCTCACTTTTCAGAGGCCGATTTTCGAAACCCCAGAGGAGTCTGCAGACGAGGGGGAGATGCCGGGATTCGAGTGCAAAGCTGGGCCGGAGGTCGCGGATCTGGGAATCTACCCCTCAGCCTTTCCACCCGATCCTATGCTCGTGGCCAGGGTCACAGAGGCTTCTTGGGCAGAAGAGCAGGGCATCTTGCCTGGAGACGAGCTCCTGGAGATCCAAGGGAAGGCGGTTCAAGAGATGACCGCCAAGGAAGCGAAGCGAGCAATGAGGGAGAGGCCGCTTCTCTTGTTCTTCCACCGGTCGGAAGAGCCGGCTTCGGCATCCTCCTCGGCGCCCGCCTCCCCACCGCCGAAGCCGCGAAAGTCCAAGGCACCTGAGACACCGGACGATGTGCTGAGCCAGGCTCGGAAGTCCCTGGCGGCCATCCTGCCCGACGGCATGAACCCCTTACAGAACACAGCCTCGGCGTCGAGCCTTCCCTGCAATTGGCGCTACTAAGTAGCACAAGTAGCTCTCGGCGAGCTCTCTGCCTTTTTGGCCGAGGAGCTCCAGCGCTCGCAAGCCCGGGCCTGAGTTCAACGCTTGTGGCTCTCGCGGTTCCTTGCGGCTCCTTGCTCTTTCTCTGGATTTCGCAGAGGTCCAAAAGGGCAGAGACCGCCGAAGGACTTCGAACTTCCAAAGTTGTCTTCCAAGAAGAGGCACGTCCCCCAAGCCCCCGCACGGCTCACACACTGGGCGCAACCAATCAGACGTCATCAGATGTCCATTGCCGGTATACCAAGTTCCAGCGCAGGCAGTCAGAGGATGTGAGGGAGGGAATGTTCGAGCGCGAAGAGTGTCGTTTAGCGCAGAGTAACGTCACCAGAATTTGACGGGACGGCAACTTGAAAAAAGCACCCGATTGCACTGCGCTGCACAGCTGCGCTCGCCCAGGCAGCGGAGGAGGACGGCTGGGATGATGACGACGACGATTGGAATCAGCCCGTGGCTCAGAAAGGCACCAAAGGCAAGAAGGACGCGAAAGCCTCCGATAAGAAGAGCGACAAGAAAGGGAAAGACGGCAAGGAGAAGCCGAAGCAAGGCAAGCCTGAGAGTGACAAGAGCGACAAGAAGGAGAAGGAGAAGGAGAAGGAGAAGGAGAAGGAGAAGGAGAAGGAGAAGGAGAAGGAGAAGGAGAAGGAGAAGGAGAAGGAGAAGGAGAGGGAGAAGGCGAAGGAGAAGCCTAAGGAGAAGGGTAAAGAGCGGGAGAAAGCAAAGGAAGCTCCGAAAGAGAAGGAGAAGAAGGAAGAGGCTCCACCGTCCAGGGCCCAAGTCCGCTCGAGTCCGCTTGTGTCCACCTGTCCAAGTGTCACGCGTCGTGTGTCTTCCCATCCTGAGGCCCCTGCTTTGCTTTGCCTCCGCCAGCGACGTGCGCCTGGGCTTCAAAGTCGACTGGCCACCGAACCCCACCTACGTCAGCAAGGCCGAACGGGCCGGACGGCTCGGGCGAGGCAGTCGATTAGCGCTGCAGCTCTCTGCCAGGTCGACCGAAACAGCTGGGCCGAGATGGCGCAGGCCGTGTGGGCTCGGCTAGGAGGGCTCTGCAGGCTCAGGGAGAGAGTCGTTGGGTTGTCCTAGCCGGTACCAGCCGGAGCTGCCACGGCCTTATTCAGATTCACGGCTTCGCATGCTTCAGCGTGACAGACTCGTGAAGAACTCCGACCATGCAAAGTCTGCTGTCGGCACTCCTGTCATTTGTGACTCCCTACTAATATACATTTTTTAGTTTGTTATTTATGTTATATATATATACATACATACATACATCACATGTATACATAAATGAATGAATCAATCAATCAATCAACCTGTATGTGTATATATATATATATATGTATATGTATTTATTCTTACAAAAATGTATGTATGTATGTATGTATGTATGTATGTAAACATCTATAAGTTTACTAACATTATTCGAAAATACTATTTACGAATTTATGTGTAATATATTTTAACATAATATAACATAAGATAATATTATCGTATATAATAGTGACATAACATAATATGATCTGCTATGCTTTTCTATACTATACTATACTATACTATACTATACTATACTATACTATACTAATACTATACTATACTATACTATACTATACTATACTATACTATACTATACTACACTATACTATACGATACGATACTATACTATACTATACTATACTATATTATACTATAAGATAAGATAAGATGCTTTATATTTCATATACAAAATACAATAAACCCGAAGTCTTGTGCCCTAAAGCCTACATCCTACGGCCTCAACCCCAAAGCCTGGCACCGAGCCATGGGCTCGGAACCGTAAAAGCCGAAAGCTCCAAGGCCCCAAACCGTAAATCTCACTAAACCCTGCATGGCTGAGAGGGGAAAAAAACTCCTCAACCTCACCCTAACCCCTAACCCCTGGACCCACCCTGACCTTGAACAATAAACTCTAAAACCAGTGAGTGCTGAAACCCTAAAACTTGAAAGCGACACATGGAGGACCCTCGGCCCTGAACCCAAGTCCTCAACCCAAACCCTACAACCGAACTTAGCCCCCAACACCCAGCCCTAAACCCGAAACCCTGGACCCTAAAGTGGGAGGGAAGAAAAGCCTGGCGTGTGGACGTTTATTTTATTCCTTTGGGTTTAAAGCCTAAACCCTAAAAAAAAGCCTCAACCGTAACGCCTCAACCCCAAAGCCTGACACCTGACATCGAGCCATGGACCCTAAAACGCAAGCCCCAAACCGTAAAAGTTTAAAGCCTGAAACCGAGCCATGGACCCTAAACCGTAAGCCTTAAACCGCAAGAGCCGGAAGCTCCCAAGTCCCAAAGCCTGAGCCCAAAGCACCGAAATCTCAAAAGAACCTAAACCCTAAATCCTGAAACCGAGACATGGAGAAACCCCAAACCCTAAGCCCCAAGCCTCAAAAGAACCTGAGCCCTAAGCTCCGAAACCGACACATGGAGGACCCTAAGCCCTCAACCCAAGTTCCCAACCCCAAACCCTGAAGCAACCCTGAAACCCTAAGATTCTAAGCGCTTTAAAACCGACCCTACACCCTAAACACTAAAGGAGTAGTCACAGATGACAGTTTTTTTGTGGGAAGAGCAGAGAAAAGCAAGGAAAAACAGTAGGTAGTCGCAGATGACGTGTGCTGCTTCTAGGGGAACTCAGATGCCTGCCAATGTTGGGAGCATTTTGGGGTCAGCCGGTCTGTGGTGATGGGAGGGCGGAGGTAGTCACAAATGATGGGGAAACATCGACCAAAGACGAAAAAGACCCCAACAAATGACAGGATTTAGGGAATCGCAGATGACAGGGGTGCCGGCCTGCTGTCGGTACACAACGGACAACGGTTTGGGGACGGGGCCGATAAAAGATGAAGCGCTTGCAAGAGCACTCAGCACAGCTCGGGACCCTCATGTCGGCTCTGCTCTTCCTGATGTCCTCTGGCTTTTCGCCTCAAGGTGGAAGTTGGTCTGCGATTAGACAAAGCTGGCGGCAAGGATGTGGCAAAGATGAGCAAGGAACGACTTGAGCATTCCTCTAGTGGCTCAGGTCGTGTTTTCATGTACTGGACGTTCTTCGCCAGCTTCTGCTGAGGAGAAGTTGAAAAAGATACTTGACGAGACGAGGCCTCTGGAATTGGCCTTTGTAAAGGACAAGGCGGGACGGGACACTGTGTAGCATGGCGTAAAGTCCCGGAGACGCTACTGATCACTGCAGAAGAAGAAGAAGCCGCCAAGTGCCAAGCCCGAGAACGAGAGCATTCTGGGAGGAATGTTTGGTTGAGCTCCCTCTGAACCTCCCGAAGTGGATATTTCAGAGTCGAGCTCTCGCACATTTCCGTGCAAAAGGTGCGCAAAGGGTTGAATGACTGGCAGGATCGCCACGAAGCCGGAGACAGCATGGTGTTGAACGTGGCCGAAGAACGCAGAACCCTCGCATATGGCTCCATCAGACACCTCCTGTCCGGAATAGAAGCACGTGCTCACGCAGCCGAGCTAGCCTTTTGCACGGCCTCGTCACATCTGTTGCTGAAACGGTTTCCCTGGCCGCTCCACTATTGATAAATGTAGGGCATACCGCTCCAGGGCTTGACGCCATGGGCTTGTCCAAGCAACTCCTCCCATACTCTGCGTGTGCGGCGGATCGGGTGAGGTGTGCGAGCCCTGCCAAAGGCCATGAGAGACCAACCATGGGTGTAGGTGAATATATCGCCTTCTTTGTGGCGCGTATTGCATTAATGTGTGTGTGTGTGTGTTGGGAACTTGTCGTGTGAGTCTTCACGCTTGGATGCTTGTTTCTGCATGACCTCAACCTCTGCCCCCCGGTCTGTTTCTCGGTAGACACGAGCATCCTTCAGTGCAACCTGCAAGAGTGAGGGTAGAGACATGTAGCCCACTGCGACTCAGACAACCGTGAACATCGTGAACTTGCAGGTGCTGGTGCCAGTAGCCGGTTCTGTCTTCCTGTGAAGGATGACCGACTGTTTGTGCAGGTTTAATTTCAGCAGTATGCAGTGGTGGATGTCGGATATCATTTTGCATAAGGGATGCCTCGCTACACAGCCTTGGGATTGCACTGACCTTGCCCTTCACTGAGAGCGTGGGAACCTGTCCAGGTCATGACCTCACGAGCCGCTTGCTGCCCTTTCCTTTGTTGAGTGTGAAGCTCACGTACACCATCCTTCTACGAAGAATCGGTGTGCTGGCATAAGCCCGCGAAATCATGTGCAAGAAGTGGTGCCGATAAGCAGCCAGATCGCGTGCAACACTTCGGTGCAGTTGATCCCCCCACGGCAGCTGCATGTTTGCTGGCATCCTGCCAACCTGTGGGGCACCGCTGGCAGCGATGCCTACTATCAGGATATCCGTCCTTGCTCTTTGTCCGTCCCCTGGATTGCGTCTTCCAACGGACGTTCGGGTCCGGAGTAGGACCTCTTGGCTTGTCATTGTTCTTCGCAAGGGCGGCCTGCTCGCTGCGAGCGGCTGTAGACGGCACGAAATTTTGCCGATTGGCCAATCGCCCAAGAAGGATGCGCCGGTGGCCGGTGCTTTGCCCGAGAGGTGTCTGATCAGTTCAGAAAAGTCATTGGACCGGGCAAATTCGGCATGCCATGCTCTTTTACAAGCCTGGCGGGATCGCTCCGGAACTCGGTTCTTCGAGGAACGTTCCGAGACCCAGCGATCTGGCAGAGTGTAATGGCCCAACGGTGGGTTTGAGTGCCGGGTGAATTCTAGCACCGATGCCAAATCTTCGCAGGACGCTTTTGGGATGTCTTTCTACTAGTGCTGCGAGGCTTTGGATGTGGCGGCTCCGTGTTGCCGTTGGCGCTGCCAGTTGCAGGCTTTCCCGGCAAGGCTCTCTCCTCTTGGGAGTGGCTTGAATCGTAGGGTCGTAGGGCCTGTCGAATGTCTCGTGCCGCGGGCTGCAAACGCTCGAATGCTCCGTGGGTAAATGCAGGGTTGCCCGGGCGCGTTCGCAGTGCCAGCAAGGCGAGGCAGCATGATCTGAGAGCAGGCATCTGCACGCACTGCACACATGATGTCGTCAATGGTCTACGTCTACGTTGGTTCAGTAGAGTAATTATGGTGTAGAGCCTTAAGCCTCGTTACAGTCCCCAGGTTAACGCAGAATGTCTAGTCCCTCTAGTCTGTTGAGAACAAAAGAACTGGGCTGTGCCGCAAGAGCCGGCTGCGGGTGTGGTTGGGTTCCGGTCGCCCAGCTGCCGGCTGCCGCTCCCACCTTACCCGAGTGCACGGGCCATGTCGGAAGCAGCAGGGATTTTCGATGGCAGATTCGTTGTGGCATCCCATGTTGCATCCCTCGTTGCCCCTGCATTCTGTAATTCAGAGATTCATAGCGAATGCAGGAACAGCAGGGGAACGGCGAATTCCGGAACCTTGAGCCCTGCTTAACCTTTGCCACTGCCGTGAAGTGTTCCCTGCTTCTTAGCTGCGGCGGGCCATGGCGTTCGGACGTAGTCAAAGCAGCCTGGCCACAGTCAGACGCGGACTCCTGTTGATATCGGTGGCAGGCAGACCCCACTAAATCGAGCGAGGCTCCCTATCTGCGACTCCTTGCAGCAGTCAGGCAGTTGCAGCTTTGCTAGCATTGGGCTTTGCAAGCTTTGCATAGCGGTTTAGTCCATTTTGTGTTGCCGGCCAGCGGGGTCTGTGAGTTCGGTGTGCCAGCCTCTGCCCAGTGACCAGCTGACCAGCAGCTCTAGCCTGCCCTAGTGCCCTCGCCCTAGTATTCAATCTGTCGCACTGGACCCGTCTCTGATGATGCTCCGAGGGGTGCTAAAGCCATCGGTCTCAGTTGGCGTGTAATGCCAAGGGCGGAAGGGAGATCTGAAGCTCCGCCTCCGGGGTTCCCTGCTTCCTGAAATCTCCTTGAGCCCTGCGACCCTTTGTAGCCTGTTGGCAAGCTCTCGCGCTTTCATAGGTACTGGTTAACCCAGCCATCAGAGTTCCGAAGTGTTGCTGTTCCTTCACAAAAATCGTCGGCGCCCAAGTGTGCTAGGACCCTTAAGTATGCGAGAGTCCGGTTAGCGCCTGCCAGTTCGCCAGCTACGTCCGCTACGTTAAGCAGCTACGGCCGAGTGCGGTGACCTCAGGTGGCTTCCAGGGCTCAGTTCGTGAGATCGTTGAACAGTGTGTTTGCAATCGTTAACAGGCCGCCATCCATGGTGAGAAGGATCCAGGCCACGGCCTTTGTTTTTTTGGGTTGGGTCGCTTGTTTGCCGAGCTTGGTGACCCTGACACGTCTGGCAGTACTGGGCAACAATGTGCTGTAAGAAGCCGCCAGTACCGTCATCGTCATCTTCACCACCACGAGCAGCATCACGTCATAGCCACCGTCGTCACGTCGTCATCGAAGTCGGTCGTCGTCTTCGTCGTCGTCGCCGTCGTCGTCTTCGTCGTCGCTGTCGTCGTCGTCGTCGTCGTCGTCGTCGTCGCCATCGTTATTGCCATCATCGTGGTCACCCACCGCCGCCACCACCGCCGCCGCCGCCGCCACCGCCACCACCACCACCACCACCACCACCACAAGTATGACCTTTACATCACCAACGCCCCATTCATCATCATGAAGTTTGTCGGCATCGTCTTCACGAACTTTGCCGCAAGCAGCAGTACTCGTCATCAGCAGTGTTCTGAACAGTTTCACCAGGCAAGACGGCACCTTCAGCGTAGCTTATCCAAGAGCAGAGCCGCCCCTCGCCAGGAGAGGAGTGCCTTGAAGCTTCACCAGCTTCAAGGCCGAGCCCAAGACTCACCATGCGCACTTTGAAGCCCATTGAGTGCGCGAGCGAGCTTGCAACTTGTCACAGAGAATAAACCAGACTTTTCCCACTGGCGAAGATGTCGTCTCGTTTCTTGTCTCGGCCGTAAAAGACCGCTTTAAGGCCAACTCATGTGCAACGGCCCAGCAGGGCCTGTGAGACCTGTACGTGCCCACCGTTTGGGGATGTTCTTGATGCTCGATCGTCAACCTTTCCGCAGGTGCCATGAATGCCTAACCGGGGTGTAGCCGCTAGCCTTGCTGGCATGGGATGGCTGAGCCATTGCACTGCAACCTGGCCAGCATGTCCCCGAAAGCCTTTCCGTCGTCTTTAGCGTGTGCTCGAAACCAGTGCTGAAGGTGACGAGTGTCATCAACTTTCCCGTGGGAAAAAGGTACATGTGGGTTCAATTCTCCAATTCGCCATCTACTCGACTTGCTTGTGTCTGCCCCTAGGCAGTCTGTGCGACAGGTGAGCAGTTTATCATCAGTCCTTCGTTGTGACCGGCAAAAGTTCTTGATTCTCCGCTTGTCTTGATGGAGATGTAGCCCGGCAGGGGCCTTTTGCAGTGGGCCGTCGTGTTCCGAGGCCCGGAACCATGACATGAAGCCCAGAAATTTTGGACGTGACACTTTGCAAGGGTTCCTGTAGCTTGAAAAAGAGGGCTTCCTTGCAGAAAACGCAGAAGCAGAAAAATGGCGTTGTCAGCTCTTTCTTGGAAGCTCAGACGGCTTAACACGCTAAGACCAGCACGTGGCCTGAGCATCTGCGATGCCATGCTCGTGCTTCCGGCCTTCCCATTGCAGAAGGGGCGTCTCTGTGCGGGTATCCGTGGTTTTGACGTTGGCCACTGAACGGCGTGATTTTCCCGTTCAGACAATCTTGGCCAAGCACTTGGCACCAGGCCAAGCCCGCAAGAGACTCGTGGAGCTCAGCTTCACGCGCTTGCTTGAGCAGGGGAGGAGACCAGCTTTAGCGTAAGACGGTGAAAGCCGTGGGCATCAGCGATCAGACCCCTAGTTGTAAATGCCGCAACCAGGGCGGCGTAGGTAGCTTTTGGCATTATTCTTGCGGCGTTTTTTGCTTCCTGGCGGATCTTCACACAGCGTGCCGTCAAATTGCCGGAAAGCACGTGTGAGGGTGGCATTGCGATGGGCATCACAGCATGAAGTGGCCCCGTGCCCCCGCCATAAATCCTGATCACTCGGCTGGCTTGATAAAGCGGGTAGGGACGTCCGAAAATGCCTTCGGCATTTTTCAAGCACCCCCCCTATTAAGCTTTGGGGGCTCTCCGCCCAAATCTAGCAGCGTTTTAAGGTCATCTTTCCGCATGAATCGCTAACATAACATCCTCATTTCACCGTTTGTCTTGGAGGCTAGTTACTGATGAAAGCCGGGTTGTCTACAAGGAAACTTGCAGCTTCGACAAGGCTTCGCTGTAGCCGCCGAAGCCTATCTGCACAGCCGTTGGCGACAAGGGCGGAAGTCGGCGATTACTTAAGAACTTCGGGCTTTGAAAGGTTGGTGCTTTGGGGAGCCTAGAGCCTCTATTGAGAAGGTCCCACTGTCTTTGAAACTCTGGTTCACACTGCGTGCATTGCGTGCTGCTTGGGTGCGCAGGCATGCAGGAGCCATGTTTGCCATCGGGAGAAGTTTCGCCACCGATGGAAATCATCGCAGGCAGCATGCTGGGGAGCCAGGAGGCGTTGGGCACGAGCGCCACTTTCAAACCTTGAGGAACCTGCTGGCGTAATCCGTCTTCGTCTTGGCAGAGGACGCTCCAGATTGCACAAAGCTCGGCGGGTCGGACCTAGCCAACCCAGATTGTCCAGTAGTTCCCTGCAGCTGCGATCCTCAGTAGTTTGCGCATTTTGATAACTCGGAGAGCGCACACTAAACTCATGTCTCAACAGTAGTCTTGGAAGCTAAGATCTCATGCTAGCAGCCCTTTCAAGCCTTCCATCTTTCACTAGTGCAGGGATTCCTTGGCGCTGGCGGGAATGACACTGTCTGCATGCGCTCCTGCATGCCCTGGTTTCTTTTGCTTCAACCACCCCAGCACCCATCGATCGCGCAAAACTAGAAACCGAGGTATCGCTCGGTTACAGCCCGAGAAGGGAGTTGAGCGACCTCGGTCGTCTAAAGCTCGGGCGGCTATTGCACGACGCAGCATCGGTCTGACGGCGAGTTCTTGCTTTTGCACATGTTGGGATGTTTGAGAATGTCCTGCTGAGAAGAGTAATGTCAATGCGTTCGGACATTTTGTCGGTATAAAGGATGTAATTTCGACAAAGGTTAGGCAGGTTTTGGCAAAAAACAATTGGCACCACGTGACATCTGCAGAGCGCATTAATCCAGCTGTGCCCATCATCTCAACAAGGCATTCGTGACCTGCAAGTGAGGGCCATGCACCTCGCCCGCACAACCTTCAGAAAGCCAGTGCTGTTGAGGGTTGCATAGGTGGTTACTGAGTCCAGTCTGAAGCCGACAGCTGGGAGGCATAGTTAAGAGCCCGCAAGTCGCAGGAAGAGGGTTCGAAGACAGGACTCCGTAACAGGCAACTCCCGAGACGGTTTGTTCACATGTGCCCCACTTGTTCGATGGTGCCGAACATCCAATCAAGAGCGTGTTTTGCAGCGTGCCGGCCAATCTGCCACCCCGTCAGGCAACCAAGCAGCAGATAGGAGATAGTCGGCAGGCTGCTTCAGCCGGTGTTGGCTACGTCAGCCTGGTCAAGTCCTATCGCCCACTCGTACCGGTGCGTTATGAAATTCTGATTTTGAGAGGCTGTGCGTCGCGGGACTGCTTGATGATGCACACTGAAAAGCTGCAATAGCTCAATCAAGAGCTTGCACCTTGGAATCCGGTTGCATGGCAGGGCTTGCTGAAAGCAAGTTGTGTGACACGTGCCAGGAGGAGCCTGCGTCGGCTGTGCTGGCCTTTGAGGGTGGTGTTCGGTTGCCTCAGTCCCGCATGACCCAGATTGCGCAATCTTTCCCTTCGGCGCTTCTGGTATGTCCCCCAGTCGAAGAAATCTTGCATCACGGGTGCATTTCATCTTGCTTGGATCTCTTCGTTTGGAGAGCACTCCAGACCAGAAAATGCCGGTGCCTGCAACAGGGGAAGTTTAGTCTCACTTCTCTTGATATTGTTCTAGTAGGTCAGAGTTTCGGGTTTGCAATAGCACGCTGCTTGGCTTTCCGCTTGTGCACCAATGGCTTTGGTGTTCGGGGCCTCGTGGCATTGGACTGCCGTTGCATCGAGCGGACCGTGCTTTCAACTGCATACGTGATTCCGCGACAGTTGAGACAAGGTTTGGCTCCCCTAAACTTTCGGTGCATGGACGAGGCGGTCCACGTTGTAGCACCACAGGTCCCGCGCATGACGTTGACGGCACGCCACTTCTGCAGTCTTGCCATGCTGTCTCCGGAGATGACCCTAGCGTCCGCCACTGCGGCTGCGTCCTGTGTCTTGGACGGAGACCACTGGGATGTGCCCGTGTCTCATGCCTGGGACATTGTCGGAACCTAGTGCGACTGTGCGGCCGTGGGGATTGCAGAAGGTCCCGAAGAAAATGAGGCGTTGTGGACCAACACTTTCCATGCCGGTAGTTTATGCGAGCCGCAGCCCTTCGGGCACTGCTACGCCGTGGTATCTGCCTGACCCTTTGGACGTGGCAAAACCAGAGCCACATCTTCGTTTCTTGCATGTGCTGGGATGACGGTGTTGCAAAGTACAGTATAGGTATGTCAAAACGTTTAAAAACATTCGGGGTACATCTGCGTATGTTTTTGACTTCCACGCTTAGGCCGGTTAGGCATGTCTCGACATAAAACATACGGAACCACGCAAAATCTCCGCACTAATCCAGCTGTGCTCATCATCTGAACAAGGCATTCCTGACCTGCAAGTGAGGGCCATGCACCTCGCCCGCACAACCTTCAGAAAGCCAGTGCTGTTAAGAGGGTTCGAAGACAGGACTCCGTAACAGGCACTTCCCGAGACGGTTTGTTCACATGTGCCCCACTTGTTCGATGGTGCCGAACATCCAATCAAGAGCGTGTTTTGCAGCGTGCCGGCCAATCTGCCACCCCGTCAGGCAACCAAGCAGCAGATAGGAGATAGTCGGCAGGCTGCTTCAGCCGGTGTTGGCTACGTCAGCCTGGTCAAGTCCTATCGCCCACTCGTACCGGTGCGTTATGAAATTCTGATTTTGAGAGGCTGTGCGTCGCGGGACTGCTTGACGATTCATGGCGTGAATGACACTGCAACGTTCGGTTGCCTCAGTCCCGCATGACCCAGATTGCGCAATCTTTCCCTTAAGTGCTTCTGGTATGTTACCCCGTCGAAGAAATTTGCATCACGGGTGAAAGAAGTTCACTTTGCAGCACCACTTGTCCCTCGAATTACGCTGACAGCACAGTAGTTATGCAGTCGTGCCGTGCCGTCCTCGGAATTGTCGCTTGTGTCTGCGACGGCGGCTGCCTCCTTCATGTGTCTTGGATGAAGACCACTGGGATCTGCCCGTGTCTCATGGCGACACTGAAACTGAAGCAGTACTCGCACAAGCACGAGGCAAGGTAACCTGAGATGTCTGGACAAATTCGAGAATCGTCCAGCGCTTTGTGATTGACTTGTGGGCGGTAACAAATCGTAATCGGCAACATCAAAATAGTCGTCGGGATCCGAAACGAACCCGACACTTTAGATTGACACATTTTCAAAATAGAAATGCAAGTTTCCATTAATGAAATATTTAATCTAAGACTGCATGATTCTTAGTTATTATTTCTTTTGGAAATCTGGGAGTGTGTGTGTGTGTGTATATATATATATATATTTGTTCTATATATTTCTATATCTATCTACTCTATACAACGAATCGTTCCGACTGACCCTTTTTCGTGTGGCCACCCTCCGGGCTAGCATTTCCTCTAAATTTCTGGAAAATTTGGAGACTCGGGAGGGCTTCGCGAATGTGTCTCCCAGCGCTGTAAATTTCTCGGAAAATTAGGGCCCTGGGAGTTGCGTTTCGAGGCGTTGTCCTTTCGTGCGACTTGGGGCAGCGTCATGCCTCTAAATTTCTCCTCTAGTTTTTTTGAAGATTTAGAGGGCTAAATTTCTGGAGAATTTAGAGAATGATGTAGAGTGCTTCCAAGCTTCACTTCATGTCCTCGTGTGCGACGTTTGCAGAGAACCAACTTCACTTCATGTCCTTGTATGCGAAGTTTGCAGACAATCTCGTGAAACCTGGCTCCATGAAGCACGGATGGAACAAGCAACTAATGATGGCAACTTGTTCACGCATAGTGTAGTGTACCGAGAAGTCTTTCCTCCCCAGATGCTGGATTGAGCATCGCAACAAGGTGCAACTGAGCAATGTTCCAGTACCGGAGAGGGACGGAGAGAGGGACGGAGGGAGATGATGGAGGGAGAAACGGAGGAGGACACGGAGGGAGACACGGAGGGGAGAGGGAGGGGGACATGGAGGAGGACACGGAAGCGGAAACGGAGGACTACACGGAGGGGGACACGGAAGAGGTTACGGGGGAGGGACGCGGCAAGGGACATGGAGGGGGACACGGCGCGGTAGGGACGGAGGGGACGGAACGGAGGGGTTGGGAGGGAGGGGACGGGAGGGAAAGGGGATCGGATGGAAGGGGGGATGGGACGGAGGAGATGGCAAGGACGGGACGGGGAGGGAAGGGACGGGATGGAGGGGACGGGACGGAGAGGACGGGACGGAGGGGACAGGGCGGAAGGGACCGGATGAAGGGAAGGGAATGGAGGGAAGAAAAGAAAGGGTAAGGGATGGAGATGGAGAATGAAGGAGGGGACGAAGAGGGGGAATGAGAAGATGGAGAAAGAGGATGGAGGAGGAGGTTGGAGGGCGAGGATACAATGGGAGGATGGAGGAGATGGTGGAAGGCGAGAGAGATTTTGGCAAGTGAGGGGGAGAGGTAGTACTCAGGAGTGAAAGCCTATGCTAGAAGCTTGGAGGGACGGTAAGCAAAGGAATGAAGAGCGAGCTCCGCATTGTTGTAAGTAGTGGGCCTTCTACCGGCCGAAACAGCGGGTCTACTCTAGTTTCTATTCTATAAAAGTTGTAACTAACGTTTTTCGTGTGGCCACCCTCCGGGCGAGCATTTCCTCTAAATTTCCGGAAAATTTAGGGGCTCGGATAGGGTCTCTCCTAGCGCCGTAAATTTCTCGGAAATTTAAGGGCCCTGGGAGTTGTGTTTCGTGGCGTTGTCCTTTCGTGCGGCTTGGGGCAGGGTCACGCCTCTAAATTTCTCGGAAATTTAGAATCCTGGGCTTACTGTCGTTTTCGGCCTTTAACTGTTCGGGAAACTTTTAGAAATGGACTGGGTGTTAATTTTTATG